TGGGAAATGGTAATTCAGCAGTTTCTGTAGTTCTTTTCGTAAAACAAAGCTAGTATGTCCATAGTACGGTAATTTCAGGTATCGGATATCCCGAGGCACGTTGTAATTAATTGGTTTTGGGCAAAGCATCTTATTTAAGAAAAGTCTTATTTGTTTTTGAATAACTGCCAGAGGGAATTTGTTTTTCAAAAAGAAGGTTTCTAAGAAATGAATTTCTCGGTTTATAGAATGCCAGTCCGAGCAGATTTGAAAACATCTGTGCAACAATGTTCTGATTGCATTAACTTTAAGCATCAAAGGTAGGAAGGATAAATAATTTAAACCAAGACCAGTGAAAGTAGGTTTTCTGTACACAGAGGTTTTAAAGGTGTTATGATCGTGATCAAGTCTAATATCCAGAAAAGGCAGGGAGTTGTTGACTTCAACTTCAGAAGTAAAATGTATGTTGTCATGTTTAGAGTTAACATAGTCTAAAAACAGGTTTACATGTGAGGCATCACTGAACAATAGGAAAATGTCATCAACATATCTTTTGTACAGTAGTGGTTTAAAATGGGATGGGCAGTCTGCTATCCATTTACTCTCGTGATAACATAAAAATACATTAGCGAGAGTTGGGCCTAGCGGGCTTCCCATTGCTACGCCATCAGTTTGAGAGTATAATTGGTTGTTAAACATAAAAACAGAGTCTTCCACAGATAATTTTAACAATTTCATAAATTGGTCTTTTGTGAAGTTATGCACATTGTCAGTATTTTCAAATAACCTATTTGTACAAATATCTATTGTTTCTTTCAAGGGTATGTTTGTAAATAATGACTGTATATCAAAACTGGCCATAATAACAGGATTTTCAAAGCTAATTGTGGACATCTGTTTAGCAAAATCAAAAGAGTTTTGGACAGTGTATTCGTTGGTAGTAATAGGTTTGAGGATTGGCACTAAAAATTTGGCTAGATTGTAGTTAAATGTTTTTATAGCTGACAATATAGGTCTAACTGGTATATCGGGTTTATGAACTTTTGGTAATCCATATAGTATTCCAGGTAAAGAGCCAGATGCTCTAAGTTGGTTATATATATCCAAGGAAATGGAGTCATTATCTTTCAGATGTTTTAACATTCTGTTTAATTTGTCCTCTAACTGAATAATCTTCGTAAATGGCTCAGTATCTAACTTTCTAAATTTGGTATGGTCTGATAGAAGTACATTTACTTTATTGACATAATCCTTTTTATCTAATATCACAACGCCTTTTCCTTTGTCAGGTTTGGTAATAATGATGCTAGAGTCATTCTTTAAAGATTTCAAAGCGTTGTGGTTGGCTTTGCTAAAGGATGGTAACCAATGTCTATGTCTTTTGAAGTCGTAAAAGGTCTCATTAGCTAAACTAGCAATTTTCTCAACAACTCTCTGTTTGTTAGATTCAGAGTTGTCACGGATTTGGCAGTTATTGATGGTATGACATAGACGTTCAAAAGCTAAAAAATGTTCGGCAAATGTAGGGGATTTACAAGGTAAAGCAAAATCAAGACCTAAATTTAGTAGTTTGGTTTCATCCTCAGATAGTTTCCTATTTGAATGGTTGAATATTACTTTGCTGCTTTCGACCTCATATTCTGGAGTTAAGCCAAGATTGTGCAGCTTTCTCAAATGTCTAGTTTTAATCTTAACAAGATCTTTATCGTTGTTCCTCGTTAATAAACATTTAAGGCAATTAAAATCAATGAATGAAGTAAAATTTCTCAATTCTTGTAGTAATAAGGGATACTTAGCACTTTCATAAGCTAGTTGTTTAGTTTTTTCTCTAATTTCATAGTTAAGGAGCTTGAAGAGCCAGGATCTATATAATTTGGTGTCAGTGAATCTATGGTTATACACTTTAAACTGTAAAAACTTAGGAATAATGTTATAATTCTTACAGGTTTGGAGAAATTCAATGTCCAGTTCTAACTTCTTGATCTTGAAATCCGCTTTCTCCGTCTCTCGATATTTCAGCAGTACTGGTCGGCCATAGCGGTTGGATAATATTTCCACGATAGATGTTCCACGGGGGAAACGTATTCTTATTATGAAAAGGAGGACCAGGACAGCAGGAAACCACATCATGCGCATTTTCATTTATTGAGCTTTCGGACATCAACAACTGTGTCCATCATCAGAATCTGCATATAAGAGAGCAATACATTTGTAAAACTATGTACATTAATACTAAATATATATTTTCCCATTAGTTTTAGTATTATAATTTGTGTTACCAGTGTATCTTGCTTCTATATTTTTTCGCTGTAAATATATATTTAGTATTAATGTACATAGTTTTACAAATGTATTGCTCTCTTATATGCAGATTCTGATGATGGACACAGTTGTTGATGTCCGAAAGCTCAATAAATGAAAATGCGCATGATGTGGTTTCCTGCTGTCCTGGTCCTCCTTTTCATAATAAGAATACGTTTCCCCCGTGGAACATCTATCGTGGAAATATTATCCAACCGCT